TGTTCAACGGCATCCATGCTGCGGCGTGCAACTTCGGTAATAGACTCCAAATGAAGGACCACAAAAGATGTATGAAACGATGATCGTCTCCAAAAACGATGCGTATCCTCGGAACGTCCAGAGAAAAGTGACCACATGCTGACCAGTGTCCCTTATATACTCAGCTTGCTGGCCGGAAAGTGATTGAAGTTTTCCGTCCCTGATTAAGAAATTGTTGTAATGTTTTGACACGTTCTTAGAGGGCTGGAGGTGAGAACCGGAGTCTTGGCCTGCCTTTGTCTATTGTTTTAAAAGATATATAGAAGCAGGTCTTTAAGCAAAGTAAATATTATTGGAGTTTGGTATCCACCCTAGCGTTAACGAGTCTATTGTCCTATTGTCTGGTGACTGCCAGTGAGCTCGTGCCATCTGGTGAAATGCACAGACAAGGGGAGCAAACTGCGTATGTGGTAACCACGGCGGCTTGCTTCAAAGACATGCCAAAAGCTCAGCGTCTATTATGTACCGGGCTAGCTGGCCGGGAAGGGATTCAATTTTTCAGTCTGTGGTTACGGCATTGTTGCGCTGTTTTGATAATGTCTTTGAGGGTCGGGAGGTGAGAACAGGGGTCTTGGTCTGTTTTGTTTATTGTTTGTTTGTTATTTGTTTTTAGAGACTGGTGAGGCCTTTTAATGTACACGGGATTAGTGGAGGAAAAACCCCCATTGAAATATCGAGCTTTGTTTCGTCGGCAAATAAATAGCAACGGGTCAGGAGTCTCAAGTTTGCAACAAATATTTATGTCGTTAAATTTGATTTTCGTCATACTGAAACATTAGACAAAACAATGATTTTTTAAAACCTACTTTGAAAAAAAAATGTTTGTTTCAATAATATACAAATAATCAAGAAATCGTTTTATTTGTCTAATTCATTTTTACCTTGTCTTCATCGGTGTCTGACTCAAACATAAGACAAAGCAAGGATGTGCTTTTCGAAAAGAAGAAAAAAAAATGTCTTTATACACTGAAAATATTGCTCTAGTACGATTTTCACAACTGACGTTGACAAGTCTATTGTCTGGTGACATCCAATGAGATCTTGCCATCTGGTGAAAAGCTCAGACAAGGGGAGCAAACTGCATATGTTGTAACCACGGCAGCTTGCATCAAAGACATGCCAACAGCTCAGCGTCTATTATGTACCGGGCTGGCTGGCCAGGAAGTGATTCAAGTTTTCAGTCTGTGGTTACGGCATTGTTGCGCTGTTTTG